AAGAATATTATGAGCAAATAATAATAATAATTTTCTGTGCAACATAATCTTTCCTGTGAAGATTGTATACTAGGAGATTCTAAATAAATAAATAGAAAAAGACCTTCTTGCCAACTGTGCGAAGTCATCTTCATCTTCTTCTTCTTCGCCATCAATCAGACCCCGAGTCAAAGGAACCACTGGTGCAGAAGGTTTACCATTTGGTTTTGAACTCTGTTCGGTGACTTCGGTAGGACTGAGACTAATTTCATGTATCTCCGCCGACTGGGGATTGACATTTGTAACTTGAGGTGGTAATGGCGAACCAGAAGCTATTGCATCATGTTTTGCCAGTACAGTCTGCAGTCTATCATTTAATTCAAGTCCCTGACCAAGAAGTTCTTCGTCCCTGCCACAAAAATGAACCCATATGAAGTGAAAAAGAAGTTAGGTGCACCTTGTAAAGCAAATTTTTCATTCGAAAAGTAGAACAGAAGAAAAGGAGGATACTAGGATCAGGAAAATGTTTCTTACTGTACAAACTTACAAAATGCAAAAAATTTCAATTCTGGGCCCATGTTAGCCATTTTTTTGAAATTTTAGACTCTGTTTATTTCATGAAGTCGTAATGGCATTATGCAACACTATCTTGTGTTGACAGATGACAAGATGAAGAAAGAAATACCCAGTAGTTGTCAACATTTGCATTAATTTCCTCTGGTTGGCACGGCATCGTTCAACAAGGTCAACTATCACTTCATCTTTAACAGCCTAAAATGATGAATTGAAAAATATTCAGGATCATCTGCTGCTAATGCTACTATTTTAAATCAGGGCATATTACAAGTGAGAACTGCATATACCGAACGGTCACTTGGATCTACAGCTAGCAACATATCAGCCAAGAGATCCAGAACATCCCCCATAGCATTTAGGCTTGATAAACTACAAGAGAACAAAGGAAGATATGAGTGGGGCATAGAGGAGAAAGAAAAGATATTTACAAGAAGCCAGAGACATGCAAGTAGTTTTAACCAAAATATAAAGATTAGTTATGCGAGAATCAACACACGCATGTTTGATACACAATACTAGATAGGACTGCATAGTAATAACAAACAAAATTTTAACTTCTTTTTATTTTGCGTTACTGTCCAATAGCAAACATGCCACCTAAGTATCATCCTAACCTTAGAGTTTCCACTTCTGCTGCCATAGCTTCATCAAGTCTTGTTGTAGAACTACTTGGCATTCCATAACCTGGTTGAGGATGTCTGGGTAATGGATGAGTAACAGGTGGAGTGAATATTGGAGCTGTATCTGGAGAACGCTGAGGAAATTGTACTCCCGACCGCTGCAACAATCCAATTTTAACAGTCATATGAATATTAGTTCACATACCTTTTAAATTGTCTAAGAAATTTTTTTTAAATTTTAACTAAAGGATATAAAATAATTAAACCAAATTTCTTCTATGCAGTAAGTATGATCTAAGTCCTGATAAGAGCTAAACCAAGTCAACCACAAGGCTAAACATTCTTATTGGAATTGGTTACATATTACTTAACCAATTACACTCGATATTTTAGCAAAAAAATATAAATCCATGTACGTGTCAAATTGACCAGGGAACACATCAATTTGAAGGGTAACTTACCCTCAGATCCTCATAAGCAATGTAATATTGAGGATATCTTCCACCAGATCCACCAAATGCCTCTCTCCAAGAGTCAATGAGTACAAGAATTTTATCTCTCACATGCATATCTGTCTGCAAAAGCATCTAAGATTGGTCTATCAATACTGAGAAATTAACTAGTTATGGTAAATTGCACATTCAAAGAGAGGAGACAGAACAAAATAACAACAAATAACATAAGTACGTAGAAAGTGATAATATAGACTTATGTAAGCTGCACATATAGAAAAGACCAAATGACGTGAATCAACTAAGCTGCAATAACTACTACAATGTTTATCCAATATTAGCATCCACACATACAAGAATCTATAGATTACATGTCTTGCATCTAAATCCAATCAAGATTGTCTTTTTAAAGATATAATATGCTAAATTATATAAAATATGTTGGGCAGATGTGCACACACAGATAAATATACTGATATCTACTATTTTCAAAGTGAATGAGTGTTCAGGATAAAAAATCATCGTCTTTAATCAGCTATACAAAATATGGTCCAGTACGAATGCACAAAATCGGTGTTAGCCTTCTTTCTTTCCCAACTTGCAGCCTGTAGCTGACTCATTAAATGCCTAACTATTTAGATGAAGCTTGAGACAAAAAGAAACAAATAAGCCAAGCCAATTGAATGCAAAGATCCATGCACTTTATTGTTGAAGGGTAATGCATAGCTACAAGTGGATAAAGGAGTATGAACAGAAAATCATCACAATAAAGTGCACCCCGACCTATTAGTAATAGTGAATCTAAATACCATATCAGATGGACAGATATTCTAAATTTGTGTTGGTGATTTACAAATACAAGGAAAGAACATTTTATTGCTTAGGCTATTATCCAACTGTCATAGAAAAAACTTGCCTTCTTCTTTACAATTTTGATCATTTCTTGCAGAATACTTCTTTCAGCAATTTGAAAATGCATATAATCACCACAGTTCTTGACCATCGTCTCCAGAAGCTAGAAAAACATTCAAGAAGCAAACTTAGCGGATCACGAAAACAAACTGTTGAAAGGGCAAAAACTTCTTCCCCTCAAAATAATACCGTTAAAGTGAGTAATTGAACTTTCGGATTCTTATGCTGCAATCGTTTCTTGACAGCTTTGACAACATCTTTTGCAAGCCTAAACAGTGAACCAATAATCATCAGTATTCCTTCACAATTTCCACTTTCCTATATGTTAATATGGTTACATAAGAATTTTCACCCAAAATACCAAAAAATAAAAATAATAAAAATAATGGATTCAACAGAAATTTAATCTACAATATAAAAATTTAAAGCAGATTTAATCAACGTCGTCCCTTTCTTATCTAATATTTAAAAAAAAAAAAATAACCCTCAATTCCCGTACTCATACAGCCCTTGACCCCAAATATTCCACGAAGATAAAGAAGAAACCAATCCCTTTTGTTCCTTTTCTAATATTCAAATTCAAGAGCAAACAGAAATCAATAATTAAAATTCATATTAAAATATTCAACTTTTCAAGAAAATATAAAAACAAAAAACAAAAACCCACAATTATAAAAGTCAACTTTGCCCCAAAAAAAAGAAACAGAAAAAACCGAATAAATATTCACAAATTAGACTTTAAATACATACATCTGGTTGGAATTGACGGCATCACAGATATCTATATTCATGGTCCAGTCGGGTCCGATCAAGAACTCGCTGGTTGCCTTCTCAACCCTCACCGTGGCTGAAGAAGAAGAAGAAATCGAAGCTATTGATGAAATCATATTTACCCCTTTTCTTCTTTAAGCCGTCTTTTCTTCAAGAAAGAATCACAGAAGCTTTGTTTTGTGGGTTTGCGTGTTTGACTACTGCGCCTTCTTCAAGTATCTTACAGAAGACACAGAGGAAAGTTTGTTTCTTCGTGATCCTCTTCCTTTTTTTGTTTGTGTTGGAGAAAGTTTTTCTGGCCCTCAACTTTTTCTTCCTTTTACTTTTTCCTTTTGGGACACTTTTTATAGGCTTGTTTTTCGTAGAAATTTCATAATTATTTTCCGATTCGGCCACCGAAGACGCTTTATATTGACTCTCGCCGCAAAACTGGACTTTTCTTGCATACTATTTATTACCACTAAGAATAGGAAAATATTCAATCGAGGAACCCAACTTCACTAATGTTTGGTGTACAGCGGTACTGTTTCCGAGAACTCCTACAGATAGTCACAAAAAATGGGTCCCAAATGGGACCCATTTATATTAAAAAAAAATTTACACCCACCCACGCACCCACCCTATGTATGTAAGCGATCGATAAACCCGTTTCTGTACGTGTATCATCACTGACCCAACTTATGGTTGTTAGCAAGATAATCGACATGTCCTAACTATACAAGCTAAAAGATCGTCCCAATCATATCGTTCTTAGAGTTTCGACATAATCTAAGAGTACTAGGACATGTATCCAACATATTGATGCAGATATCTTTGAAATATGCTTGACTATGGACATACAACCATACAAGTACGCAAATTACAATATTCAATCACATATTTTGATATTCTTATGAATCAAGCTAGAAAAATAGGGGTGCTATCGAACCCCACCAATAGGGGGGGTCCCTTTTTTGCGTGGGACCCACCTCCATGGGTGGGGTTCGATCAGGGGACCTGTCAGGCCCCTTGTTCTTCTAGCAAAATTGTATTCTTATATCAACAAATTTATATGCTAAACAAGTCAAAGCAATGCAAAATTAAACTCAAAATTCAGTTTTCGATAATGAATTACCTGCATCTTAGTTAAAATAAAAAATATGAACTTCAGTACTTTTAGATTGGGTTGAAATTCTAGTGTGAACTATCAACGAAATATGTGCAAGTAGAATATGCAGGTTTCGAAACCTATTCTTCATGGTTTTCAAAATTTAGTACACTTATTTGTGCATTTCCATCATTTCATTCCATTTATTATTTCTATTACCTATTCAAACATAACATCATTTATATAACGTTATTTCATTTAAAAAGTAATATAGACTTAAACTAGTAGTAGTGTGTCCTACACGACTACTATATTGAGAGTGATATGTGCAAATCGAGATTTAGGGGTATTTCAGGTGACTTTTTTTTATCTTTTGTTTGATTGTATATTTTAAAGGACCACTCTCTTTATAATGGTTGGATGCGAAATCATCGTGGGTGAGTTTAGCATAAGCATTTGTTTTTGTTTTAATTTTTGCTTTTTCCATCTGTATTTATTCCTCTATTTTTATTGAGACAAAACAGAATATTAATTCTATAATGGTCAAGTTGGTGAAAACCATCCAAGAGATCAAAATGCGCCAAAATTTAGGGTGCGATTGGTTTCTATTTTCATTTTTTAGTTTTTCTCGAAAACGACTCGCTTTTCGCGTTTTGAGTGTTTTCGACCTTTATAACTTAAAACGTTGAAAACAATAAAAAGTCGTTTTGCGTTTTCAGTTATAAATTTTAACTCGTTTTCAAAAATGATGGACTAAACGCGTTTTTCGCGTTTTCGAAAACGAAAAATGGGTCGAAAATGGCAAACCAACCATGGCATTATATGTTGAAGACTAAATCTCAATCAATAAAGCTGCGGACTCTTTTGTGTAAATCTAATATATTGGGGGACCTCCATTACACACTTTCCTCCACAATAAAACGGAAAAAATATTGTTCAATATGACATAATCTTATCTGTC